TTTGCATCAGACACCTTTCTGTTGGTGTGCTGAGTGTAAGGGGATTCCATCCCACTGTCTGCCAGGCTGAAGGCAGGGGCTCTGCTTGCTTGGTGCTGCTGGCCTTGGCAGGCAGGAGCTCTGTGTGTGTGGAGGAGATGGCTGAGCTGCCTGGTGTGCTTGTGTCTCCTCTCAGAACGTGTACAAGTCGGACCTGCACTGGCTGAGGGGGATTGGCTGGACGCCCAGCGGTTCGTTGGACGACGAGAAGAATAAGAGAGCCGGCCTCATCCTGAGCGAGAAGAAGTATCGGCAGCACCCGGGCACCATCAAATTCACGAGCCCTCTGGACTCGATACCAATGGCTCTGGCGAAGCACAACTCTGAGATTATGAACCACGTGAGTTGTGCTTCCCTCTGGAGCTGGGAGGAAATGGGATCCTTAGCAGGACACAGGCTCTCTGTCCTACCATGGCATGGTCTTTGCTGGTGGGGCCTGTAACCCACTGCTGGGCTTCCGTGGAGGGCAACCTCTTGGCTGCTGCCTCCTGCTGCCTGCTCCTGCGGAGCACAAGCGCTGCCTGGGTGCACGAGGCCGTGCAAAGGAGGGGTCCCCCCTGCTGCAGCTCCCTCATCCCGCTCAGCCTCTCAGTGTGTTTCCGTGTGCTTGTGGATCTTCCTTCACGTGGTGATCTCTTTCCTTTCCAGCGCCTCTACACGTCAGCTTGGGAGAAAGATAAAACGAGCATCCACATAATGCCAGACACACCTGAAATTGCGCTAGCGTATCATAACCAAATGAACCTCAGTGAGGTAGGTGGTTCAGCAGGATCTAAATGGCCAGTGGTGGCCTTTGGTGGCCCAGGAGGCTGTATTGATGGAGGCACATGGGCAATGCTCCTGCTTTCTTTCAGAAACTGTACAAGCTTGCCATGGAAGAAGAGAAGAAGAAGGGTCATGACCTGCGAGCAGATTCCATTCCTATCAAGGCTGCAAAAGCTTCCAGAGATATAGCAAGTGATGTAAGTGCAGGGACACCCTTGGTGGCACCTCTTCTTCTGGGACTGAATGCTTGCTATAAAGGTGTCTGCCTTAAAAGAACTGAGGGCACAGACCATTTCAGGAGTCCTTAGTTCTGTGAGGGTCTTCTTTGTGTAGCAATTGCTTGTGAGGGTGTGTACGCGGTATGGGCAAGCTGTGTTGGCTAAAAATTTGTAGGTGGTGAGGACAGCATGACAGGTGAATCTGGATCATAAAAATAGTCCAAGACATTTTTTCTCTTGACTTATTCTCTCAGAGCATCCAAAACAACTTTTGAGTTTTGTGCTGGCTTCAGAGCTAGCAGATTGCACCACCGTGACTTTGAACCTATGCAATTTTTCATGAAGAGGCTTGTTTCATTTTAAAATGGACCAGTGATATATTTTTTTTCTGCCGTCTGGCCTGTTTGCTGATTCAGTTGACATAGGGCCATCATTACCATGTCCATACCGTTACTGCCAAGTACTTTTCAGGAGGCATCTGTGCAGCAGCTGAGTTTTCTATCTTATGCAATACTGTGTAGTTGAGGGTTGTTCCCTCAGTATAAGTACATGAGCTGAGTGTCTGATGACATTTACTGGACTCTCCAGAAAGTGCTGGGTTGGAAGGAAAAGTACTGTCACTTATCTCTTCCCAAACTCAGTATTTGGAGGACTGCAGCTGGGCTGTGCCCCAGGCCTCAGATGTTAAGGTCTTTCACCATTAGGTATGATAGTCTGGTGCCATGCAGTGTGTCAGCGACTGAGAGCCATGGGGGTGAGTGCAGGAGGGGCACAGCAGGCAGAATTCCAGTTCCCCTGTTGAATCAGTGCTGGGGTTTCACCACATGGTACGTGCCAGCTGTTATCTCCCAGCAGAGGTGCTCAGGAAGCGTGATGACCCTCTGTGCTGGATTCCATGTACTGCTCACAGTTCCAGGGCTAGCTTGGTGGGAGTTTCAGGTGGACCTCCCCTGTCCCTGTGTGGACATCGAGAGGGATGGAAGTGCTGCACCTTGTAGGCCTAAGGTGTCCTAGAGTGATTGTTCACCTGGTGGTCCTCAAAGCAGAGACAGCAAAGCAGTTGCCTGCAGACCTTAGCACCGGGTAGTGTCACAGGGGGAGAGGGAACAGCTAACGTG